TCTGGGTTGGCTGCTGCCTGGGATAGACGCTGATGGAGATGCATGTGTAGTTCACTTAAGAATGATGGTATATGTGGACGCAAGACTGATTTTTAGTTTGAGTTATGGCAGATTTCCCCCTTTCTCCAAATTGTGATCATGTGTCAGAGGAGAAGTTTAGAGGAAGTATTTCTAGAAAAAATCACCTGTAAGGTGTAAAAGACTCAGTTTCACAGGTACAATGCTGTGGTTTAAATTAATAGAAGGGAGAGGATAGGGGAAAAAGTCATTCAGAACAGCCCCCAAAATGTATGAACTTTTTTTTTTTTTTAAATAGGGGAGTGTGCATAAGGGAATTTCTTATTTATATCTATTGCTGTGGGCCTTTAGGTTCTATTGTTTGGGTTTTTGTTTTGTTCTGTCCTTTGATTTTTCTTCTGCAGTATCAAAAGCTGGTAACCTAAGAGGGAAGACAATCCTCTTCCCTGAACAAGTCTGGGAGGCAAGGTTTAATAATATATTTTTTAAAAATTAAAATTAAATGAAAAATCATCCAAAGTTCAGTTAGGCAGTCCTAGTCCAGTAGCTGAGTGATGTAAGGAGTACTGTATGTTGGTTGCCGTAGCAGGAGATGGTCTTTGATTTCTTCTTTATTAAAACTCACGCCCTGTAGTACTAAAACATATATAAAGAAAAACAGATTACTTCTGCTATTTTGGACACTGAATTAGTAGATTTCTGTTGCAACTGATATTTGCATTTCACTCCTTTTGGACAGTGGTACTTGTCTAAACCACTCAAATTAGATCTTTCTTATGCTTTTTCTTGCTTCTCTCAGAAAGATGGTTGTTTGGTGTGTGGTGTTTTTTTTTTTTTTTACTGTTGATGCTTCTCTGGTGGTTTCTATTTCTGTCAGATAAAATAAATCTCATCAGGTAGGCTCTTGTAAGATATAAGATAAAAATCTTACAGTTCCTTTGAATGTACATTAATTATAATTAAATTAATTTTTAAGTAAACATGTTATTTACCAACTTAAGCCACTGGAGTGCAAATTATCTTTAACCAAGGCTGTCCACACACCAGTTTAACTAGGTGTGACTCTCTTCTGTGCTGTTTTTAGTTCAGCTGTTTCCACTGGAGGTAGTAGCAAGATTAGTATAATTAAAGCAGTAGTTTAGTATGTTTACAGATTACCGCTATTGTTACTTCAACGCACTAGTGGAGGGGGAAGAAAATAGGCCTGAATCTTAGTTCTTTTCTTTCAAAAGGGGCTGCTAATCTTTAATTGGGTATAAGGTACGAAGCCAATGCAACATGTCAAATGGTGAAATTGCTGTGCGAGCGCTGTCACTTTGCTTACTTTTTGTGTACATGTGTTTTTTGAGAACAACTTTTCCTTCTCTTCCTTCCTCTTTCTACTGCGTGTTGATTTAAGAGTAGCTGAGCTGTGCTGGGATGGGTTTGAAGTCTTTGGACCTAGCTGGAGAGTTTTGGGAAAGATGCCAAAATCAGCAGGTTTTTGTTTTATGAAATGTGCCGAATATGTGTCTGGGTGCGGACAGTGTCACGGTACCTTCAGAGGAAAATCCAGTCGACTTGTGTTCCTGTTTGTGAGATGCCTCTGATGGAATTTAATTACTTAAAGCCCTGAATTTGTAGCAGCTGTTGCTGGAGATGCCTTGAAAGCAAGTGTTGAGGTGGGTAGGAAGCAAAAATGCCATTTCTTTCCTTTTCTTTAAGGAACCTCTGTGGGTATAGCTCCTTTACAGATGTGGAGCATCCAGGTGTATTATCTATGTTCATTTATTGAGACTAGGGGAATTTACCTCCTGTTGTTTAATGTGTCATTTGGGTGTAACTGTGACTCAGCCGTCTTGTAATTGCTGTAGAAGTTGGGAGTTGAGTGCCCTCAGAATGGTAGTTAACCTCTAATAACATCAATTAATGTATATTCAGTAAGTGCTTGGTTTCTGTGAAGATCTGAGGAACATGTCTGACAAATTTTAACTCCCGCTTTACTCCCTCTGTGAATTCTAGGAATAATAAGGGGATTGGTAGCATCCATTATTTCCCTATCCACTTCATAACTGTATAAAAGTGTTTCTTTGCAATCTCATGAAATGCTAGGGTTTTTCCCACCTTTGGATACCACTTCTATTCAGCTGTTTTTACAGGGTGTGCCCGGAAGAGAGTGTGTTACAAAAGATGTGATAAATAGACACTTCTTTTTCTTTCTCCTTTTCTTACACAGCTCAGGACCCATATTAATGCTCTCGGGCACTGAATAACATACTTGTTGCCTTCGTCCTCAGCTATAGGTACAGGACAGATCTTTTACAGGTGGGTTATTGCTCCCTAGGCTGCAATTGCCTCTGCCAAGCAACTCCACTCTGGTGACCAAGAACCTGGTGACCAGGCTTCTGGTTTTTTTTTGTCAACTCTTTCACATGCATGCTTTCTGTAATTTTTAATGACATTGTTCAAGCAGAGGTTTGTTCTCAGTGTTGAGTGTTAATCAGGCTGCAGTTAAAACTGTAAGCAGGAAGAAACGCCGATTACTGAAAGTAGCTAACACTTGTCTGGAAAAGACTGCATCTCTTCCTCTTAACAATCATGGTGATCCAGATCCTGCCTCTTCATCCCCCATGGCTGTGTAACTGTACAAGGACATTCTAAACAGTGTACTAGAGTACAGTATCCAGTCTGTCCACGCGTCTCCTTTTTATTACACTAATTCTTGTGTCCAGAATTGCTTCATAATCTAAATGGATTAAGCACCTGCTTCCCCAGAGACACATACTGAGAGCCCACATCAGTGCAGGTGTTGCTGTTCCCTGTTTCTGGGAGGTTACACTCTCATTGCTATCATCCTCTTCCTCAGGTGACTTGATCAAGGGGGCCCATCAGTGGGGCAGGGGGTTAAAGGATTAGCTGTGGACCTCCAAAATGATGCACTGACACATGCTGACTGATGGGGTGTTCCTATGTTTATGTGCATGTGCATAACAAATGCATTCCAGAAAACTTCCAAGGGTATCCAATTTTCGGTTCTGGAGAATGGTGATAAAAAATCATGAACATGGTCTTTATTTAAATAAGTAAGTGTTAGGATCCTGCAGTCTCTGAGTTGTCTTGCCACATGCCTGTGCAGAGCACAATGGTATTTAATGCCCTGCCTCACTCTCATGTGACATTGGGTGATAATTTCTTAGGGAAAAGCCACAGGTTGCTTTCTTGAGGGGTTAAACAATGGTGGTGGTCGTTGAAGTGATAGGCAGTCCTCACCAATTCACAGCACTTCCACGGTGGTCTTGATCACAAAAGAGTGACCCTGTTGTCTCGTGCTAAGAAAGGGAAAAAACAAGTTCCTTCTTCCTTTAGGCTGAACTGATTTTGGTTTCTCCAGTTACCCTGTCATTCACGGGTTAAAGGCCCTTACAGGCTGCCTGCAGAGACATCATCTGCTTCATAATGCAAGTTGACATGTGGGTTTTTTATTAAGGTACTGTGAATGTCTTAAAGCAAATCACAGTGCCATTATGGGATTTAATTTGCTGTCCTAATGTCCCTTCTAAAACAAGGGCTTTTTTTATTTTTAAAGTGTGTGTGATGCTTATTGTTCTTTGTAGGAGAGCTAAGTTAGCAGCTTCTTCATCATCACTACTGGAAGCAATGTCTGGTGTTTTGGTGTTGAAGTTTTTTGTTGTTTGTTTCCATTTATCGCTTTCATGTTCTTTCCTCCCTATTCTGTTCCTTCTTACAAGAGAGGTAGCGGGCCTCTACTTGTATTTTACTTCAAAATATGGGCTTTTAATTCAAGGTGCTGTGTTTACCCATATGTAGGGGAGAAACAAGTGCATTAAAGACAGATTTTTTTCAACTTCTCCTTCCATATTTTGTTTTCAAGTTACAATGGTGAGAGGTAGTATGGATACTGCAGGAAAAACTGGATAAATTGTTAGTTTTATTGCTAACACTTCTGAATACTGACTGTTCCAAAGGTGTTAGGCTGCTCAAAAACTAAGGTCTTGCCAGCTCTACTTAGTTTTATGTTCTAGAGCTCTAGATGGAGAGCATTGGGTACTTCATAAAGAAGTGAAATAAAGTCTACTCATTTATTTTGTGGGTTGAATACTGACAGGAAGACAGGCTGCCGGGAGCTGGAAGGTGTTAAAAAAAAAGCAGAATTAATGCTTATCTTTCTGTAAGAAAGCTTGACAGATAATGTCTGAGGGAGAAGACTTCAAATGAAACTAATGCAAGTAAAATACTGCTGTGTAATTACAGATGTGACTGAGCTGAGCTACTCCCTGTTAATCGCACGTAATTAATACAACCCGGTTGCAAGGTGATTTATGGGTGGTTTGAATAAGTGTGTAAGATCAGAAGGACTGGTTTTCTGCTCTCTATAACATAGACACTATAGTCACTTTTTATAAGATGATGTAAATCCATCCTAGAGCAGAAGAATTAATGGACCCAGCGGATTAGAAGGCTCTGGGCATTTTCCATAGCTCCTGAAAAGCATTGGTCTTTCTTTCCACAGGGTCAGGGGTTCAGTCTCATAGCATCTCATACTACCTTTTTGCATGTTAGAAGGCTTAATGAAGACTCATTTTTACTTGTATGTTCGGTTACCTTTTGACTTGCTGCTACGGTAGGACAGTTTTATAAATTTGCTATTATATGCTGTAGAGGTCATTCAGGGTGCTAAATCTGAAGAGCGCATTCTGGCATTCTTTTGGTCTGTAATCTGTGTTAGGGAGGTACCTGGCTGGAAACTGTTTCAGCAGATGTGAGTGGAAGTGCTTCTGGAGCTCTAGAGTAGAAGAAAGGGTAGCTGAGACTAATGAAGATGTTATTGAAAGAACAAAACAAGTAAATTCATATTTGTGTGAAACAAACTGTTAGAGGTTATTAACATGGCAAATACTCAAAATTTCTCGAAACTGTACTGTGCTTGTTTCTGATTTTGGTGGTGTTTGTTTTGTTTTTTTTTTTTTCCCCTTCAGTTCTATAGGTGCTGGTGCAAAAACAGTTTAGCAATGGATCAAAGAAAAAATGATAGTTTTGTCCCAAGTATCACGCAGTTGGAAGACTTCCTAACAGAGCATGACTCCAATGTTGTTTGGCTGCTAGTAGGTAAGGTGGATCTGTTCTGTTACAGTTAAATTTTTTGTTTGTGTGTGCTTTTAAATGTGCTTCTCTAAATGCTGGCATATCGATATCAAATTTCTTACCAAATTACATCACAACGTTGGTAATAGATTTTTATTTGTTTTACAGCTGTTAAGTGAGGTAAGGCAATGCTACTTAAGTATTTCAGAAAGAAAAAATACAGAACTGTTTCCAATACTAACGGTGCTGCAACACTTGGGAGCTAAGTGCAGTGTAGAAGGGATGATGCCCTACAGCTGCGACTGCAAAATAAGAACTTGGCAAGGACTTCTCTCTGTGACATAAGTTTTGTATAACACCAGAGTAAGCTGGTGATTAAACGTTAATACCATGACAAAGGACTAGCATTGTAGCACATGACAGGCAGGTACAGTAACTTTGTTATTCTGATACGTATGTTTCTGCGGTTTAGTATGCTAGAGTTTGAAATGTAATATCAAGACTATTGTGTTTAATGACATAACTTCTAGGCTAAATTGTGTGCCACATTAAGCCTGTAAGCCACAGAGTCTTGTACTCCTTTTAGGGGATGTTTTTGTAAATATGCCTGATTTAGGTATGCTAATTTTTTTATAATGCTAGTGCTGGTTTTTTTATTTGTGTAGGTACTTTTATTTTCTGAGTCTATGAACAGATAGGTCAAGAACAGCAAAGTAAAAATTAAGTTGTATTCAGGTCTAGATGAGGGTAGGAGAAGGGTGTGATGAATTTGGACTTTTCCTGAGGTAGATCGTGCCTGCTTTTCAACCTTGATTCTTGGATCTGGAGTGAGGGACAGCACAGGACTTTGGAGTAGTTAAAGCATGTGCGTTGGCTATTGACGTACTGGAATTAATTTTCAGTAGGCCAAACTCAATGAAAAGGACAAAGGCAAATTAGCTGGGAGTACTTTCTGCATATTATTTATTTTGCTTTTAATATGTTGACACAGAAAGTTCATACTCAACATAAAATTCTAAGTGTAATGAAGATGAAAATGAGAAAATGACCATGTTGATAGTTGCTGATGGCAAAATGTGGAACGTATGCGGAACAGATCTGAAAAATTTGTCTCCAGAAGCTTTGACTTGAGTCTTAAAGTTGTTTGGGTCTTTCACCAAAGAATAAAAGTGTCAAATTGCAGTCTGCAGAGTTTTCTTTCTCTGGTTTTCTCTCACTGCACTGGATTCTTAGAGCAAACTATTAGTAATTTTGCATGGAAATTATGCAGGATATAAGCAATTCCATGTAAGAGCTATAATTTAAAACCAAAAGCTTTGCTTAGCTTTCTTACTTGCTTCAATATGTTAAACTTCCATGTTTCTGTTTCACAGAAGGGTGGATGGAACTTCAAGAACTAATAGAGTCCATCCCTTTCTGTGGGCACAATGACCTATATACAATTATTCAGTTTTGGGGAGCTGCTGTTCTCTTCAATTGCAAGAAACCACCTGGTATTCTAGATACAATGACACAAACAAGAAAAAGCTGAGTAGCCTCCTGTTATTATGAGGTTTGGATAGAAACATATTAAAGAAATAATTATTAACTGACCCAGTTTCAACCAGCCCGTCCTTCTTTGCTTTCATCTGCATCCTGTTAAGCGAACAAAAAAAAAAGATGTCAATATTTTCTTCTCCTGAATCCTGAAACAGCTAACTATTGATCCCAATGAAAGAGGTGATGAATTCTAGAAATGAATATGCTCCTCAAAGAGCTGTTGCTCAAGTCTAGGGTAATTTCTAAAAATCACATGCAGTAATACTTTCCAGTTGCAATTTCCAAAATGTAGCTTCAGTGAAGAATATAATGATGAGTTGAATAGAGTTTATGGGATCTGTCACTTAATAGTGGAGACTAAATTTAGTGAGGGAAGAGAAAAGGCTACAATTTGCGGCAGAGGTGTGAGTAGTGGTAAAGGCAGTGGGTTAGGACTGTAATGCCTGCAGACTGCACTAGTTTGCTGATTTCTCTTGATGTACGTCACCTTAAGAGGATACCTTCTTGGCTTTAAGTATGTAGAAGATAAGTATCTAGTTGAACTTTAATCTCAAATTAAGTTTTATTACTGGAATGAAACCTGTGAGTGTGAGTCATTCTACCTTTCTCCCTACATTGGTAGAGGACCAGAAGTGAGTAGCTTACTCATCTGACAGTGAGGAGAGGCTGTCCTTGGAGTGGGCCTTCACTGAATGCCAAGAGCAGTTCCTTTCCTGGGGTGTAGCTTTATGACATATCTTCAGTATGAAGTGTATACATAACCAAAACACTTCTGTTAAAAAGTTCAGTTAGTATAATAAGTAGAGATACCTCAAATACAGAAATTGCTTTCTTTCCTATTCTGCTTTGGATAAAACAGAATGTAATTATCAGTAAAGTGAGTTAGAACTAGTCCGTTCCCTGGCAGTCCCATTCCTTTTGGGTTTGTCCTTCTGGAAGCTTTGAGAACCCTTGTAGAAATAGGTTACTTGCTCTTAATCAACTAAAGTAAAAATTACTTTGGGGATTATCAGACCTAATTTTTTTTTTTTTAAACATTTTCTCATTGGATGGCTATTTCCTTTTTGTCCTATCAAATTCCATGCTTGAACTGTTGACAGATTGCTGCTAACCCAGGGACTGGTACGTTTATCCCAGGATACAGCAATTTAGGAAATGGTGTCCGATGTGATAGTGTTGTTTCCTGTGCTATGATATGAAAGACCAGACATTTAAATTACAGTTCATTGTTTGGAGAAGGAATGTAGTGTATTTTTTAGGGTGTTTTGAAGTACATGACCACGTGGGATAATGCGTGTTAGGCTTTCATCTATGAAATTTAACTTCATGGATGATAAGCGATGTGATGAAATATATGGTGCCTTTTGCAGGTCCTGTGGAGGACAGGTTTTTTATACTGGGGAATGGAGGAGCAGAGAAGAAACCATATTCTTCTGAACTTCCCCTTTCCCTGTCCCCCCATCTCTTGACACCCTTTTCACACCATCTCTCTAAAAACATCAGTTAAGAGTCCCATTTAAGAGTAGGAAGAACACTGTTGTGCTTTATAGTCTTAATAGGTAAGGCTTTTATCTAGGTCAGCGTACTTTAAAAAATATCTTAATTCATTTTAATCTTTCAACAGCGACAATATTGTCTTGCGGATGGATTATCTACCTAACTTATTATAATTCCCGGAACATTGGACTCATTTTAACATTGGTTCTTAACAGATTATATAAACATGGCTACATCCATATTGGTAAGTTATGATTACGGTAATGCTGCTGTTTTATCTACTGTTTTTTATTATACATCAGTTTGCTAGAAACCTGAAATAAAATCATAGTATTCTTTTTTTATAGTAATTTGAAAATGATCAACATGGGTTTAAGAAGAAAAAGATGATCATGCTTTAGGGGAGGATTCTTGGTGTAGGTAGAAAAGCACTCCCTTTTTCACTGAAGTCTCATCATTTTATATTAAAAGTCACTTGGCAGTTTAAGTCGAGTTTACTTTTTTCTGGTTAGTCTATATTTTTGTACTTAAAGTCTATACGTTTTCCTTTACCCTTATTTCAAAGCCCTGTAATCTTAATAGTTAATGACCTTAAAGGAGAAGACTGACCTCAGTGCTCCCTGGAACCTTCCTGATCTGCTTCTGGACAGACCTTATAATTTGGTGTTTAGGAGTGCCGCTTCCCCGCACCTTTGAGGCTGGTTCTGTCTGTGAGGCTGGTTATACAGCAAGTGTGGGTAGCAGCCACCGGAGTGGACTCGGAGGGGCACAGTAGGGTCTCAAGCTTTGCCACCCTATTATGGCAGTGTCCTTGCTTTCTAAATAATCTGTGAGAACATCTAATCACGTTAATCCATACTGGGACTGTGACGTGTAGAATTTATACTGGCTAGAACATCTACATCACAATCCATTAATTTTTTTTTTTTAATATATTTTAAAACAATTTTGAATAAAGCAGGGCAGTACAAATCACTTGGGCACTCACCCACATTACAAAAATATCTGGTGCTGAGTCACAGAGGGCTGTATCCCACAACTACACTCTGATCACTTTTCATTTTCTTTCATTTATTCTTGCATGCCTTCCTCTGTGTGCTTCCCAGCAGGACGATGACTTGAGTTCTGGACTTTCTCTGCAACTAGTGATCGTAAATGTAGGATAGAAACAAAAAATCCCACCCACACTTGCCTGCCAAAGAGACCCCTGCAATAATTTGCTTATGTCCTCAAGAATTTAAGAACTGTAATTCAGACCATCTTCAAATTCAGCCTTTTGAACAGCAATATAGATGAAATACTTATTGGCTGCTACACTTGATCTATAGGCTTTTATTAAAATTTCTCAGTGAAATTGATATTAAGACAGCTGGACATAGCTGGCCAAATATGTGATGTCCTTCATAAAGTTAATCATTGAGAAGAACATAACATTAATTAGGTCCAATGATTTACAGCTTGGCTTTGGTTGATTAATGTTGGGGTAACTTTTTTTTTTTTTTTTTTAATCATGGTTTATTTAATTTTCTGTGGGTTATGTGAAAAGCCTTAGGAAAAATATGTGCTGTTGCATCACCTGCTGGTCTTTTCATGCTTATTAATCCTTCCTGCTGTAAACACAATTTGTCATACTAATTGGACTGAAAACTTCATAGCCATTTAAAATTTTGTCAGGAATCATTATTTCTCTAATTATGGTCTTGCATACAATGGCTTGATAGAGTAAATGTTCAAAATAGCTTTCCTAACTTCACAAGCTTCACAAGGCACCTGAAAGTTCTCAAGTGACTAGTGTCTCTCAGCGGGTTTGTTGTATTAGTGTGTGGTGCCAAACCCAGCAGCTTTTAGGGTTGCGTAGATTTTGTCTCATATGTTCTGAATCTCTGACTGCTTTCTCCTCTGAAAGTCAGTGTGTTTTCAAAGGTACCCAGTAAACCCATTTCAGATAATTCTTCCTTTTCAGAAGATAAAGCTTCAACAGCTTTAGGCTAATGACTGATAAACACTTCTTTTTTACACTAGGTTCCTTTTCATTCTCTGTGCTGTCTGGAAAAGTCATGGTTCGCGAAATCTATTTCATCACAGAAGACATGTCTATCAGGTACAGGTTGCCCAGGGATTTGCTCTTCTCAATAGCGATTTCAAATGCAGTAAATGTATATGTCAAAATAAAATCATAAAACATAGCAAAATACCATCTTACAAGTGAGCAATAAATGTATTTGTAAATGTTAAAAATAAACCGACTCTTTTGATGTTAGTATTTAGACATTCTTAGATACTTGTTAGCTCCCTTGCTGTTTGAACGTTGTCAGTGGGAAGTGAATACTGACGAAGATTCTAGTTGACCTTAATATTTGTAAAATAAAACACTTCAGAGTTTGAAAGTCAACTACTTTTTCATTAATGTGTTTTCACTCCCTCATGCTCCTGCTCTTAGATTTGGAAGATTCATTTTGGCCAAGTAGTTTGCATATATAGTGTAATTGAAAAGAATTTGTTTCAAGAACAGCACACAGTTTGTAATTTTGATTCTTACTGTTAAATTTGTAAAGCCTTGAGAAAGCAATGGATATAACTTCTATACAAGTTTCAGCTACTGCAGTAATTACATAATATTATACTGTATGCTTTGTGCTGTAGCGTTCCTGCTTTAATATTGCATGCACGCTACTGCAACTGTAGATCTCTGCACTGCACTGCATAAGGCGACGTACAATCCAGCTGCATGTAGGATTTTGGATTATCACTCTCTTAACTTCAGTTTTATCTAATTTATTTGATTTAGAATTCAAGACGGATTTATCATATTTCGCTGGTGGAAGATGTACAACCCTAAGCAGAAACAGCATGGTAGGTTTCTCAAAAAGGTTTCAAAGTTTAAGTTTACAGGTAGCCCTCAGAAAAATACTTCTTTGCACAATCACATGCAAGAAATTGATTTGTTGATACGTACCTGACATACATGGAATCATCAGAAGGTATGGGTCCTTTTAACTGGTTGATCTGTGTTAATAGGCTAGAACAACATAATGAAGTAAATACAGGATTCAGTATCAGGGACTTGAACCCTTGTAAGACAAACCATTATCCTTAATAGTAGCCTTCATTAGCTGTAGTCTAAGCACAATTGACCCTGTATTGAAGCTTATAACCATGATAAATACAGATTCTGGAAATGACTTTACTTTTCAAGTTCTAGTGTTGTGCTGTCAGTATCTTAGCAAAAGTGTTACAGTAGGGGATGTTCTTTAATATCAGATAACCCTGTGTCTTGATGACATCTGTGGTCCTGGAAGGGTGGAAGTGTGAAAACATCATTTATTTTTCTTCCTTATCTCTGGCTGAAGAAGGATGATTAACACCAATGCAAGAGATTAACTGTATCTGTGGAAAACGCTGGGGGAAATCATAAGTAGCCTTGTGATGTGTGATTAGTCATAGGATTAGAATCTTGTTGAATGAGTCTCAGGTCCTGTCTCTCTTGGCTTTTGAAACATCGCAGCTCCATTGCTAATCAAGGAGGTCCAGATGTGGCAACTGTCTCTGGTTGAGGAGGGCACTAATTGAGAGGGTCACTGAACTTTGGAGGGCTTATTTTTCCTCATCTCTGCTTTGGAAGGGACCTCTGATGGTGTGAAGCCTTTTAGACTTGTCATCAAGCTTGTACAGCCATTGCTTTGTCAGTACCAACTCAACAGTGGTAGAAGTACTGTGTGTGCATTACACAGGTACGAGACACCGTTCACTATAGAGATAGGGATTAGGAAGCGTTTCTCACTTCTTTTTATTGAGGCGTTACTAAACCTCAGGTGCTAGGACACAATTAAGTTCTTTATACCATAAGAAAACCAATTCAAAAAGTGAAACCTAGTCTTAGAGTTAATTAGATTTTTTCCAACCAGAGGTTATTGTCCAACAGGTTTTCATAGAATTTTCTTCATCTGCTAGTTAAAATGTATTCCTCTAGTGGCTCGCAGAATACAAAAAATGATTTGAACTTAATGCAGTAAAGATAGTTTCGTCTGTCTTTTATGGTGGTATTTTTGCTTGGTAGTATTGCAAGGCTTTAACCTTTTCTGCTGGCATTTAACAATGCACGATTAGTGGACGATTAAATCCAAGTAACCAAGCAGGTCAGAGGTGTATAGATCTGACAACAAAGGAATGTGAGTAAAACACTTAAATAATCACTCATTTTCCTCAGAGAAATAACCTTGCTCACTCTACATTTTGATTATTTAGCAGAGACTCTTTCATTTTTAACCTTAAAGGAAAAATTAGTTTTTCAATGATTCTTAGTCTCTTGTAGTACGTTCTTCCTGATACTTGTTAACCTGCTTGATCACAGCAGAAATGCCTGCACCTGACTGAATTGCGAAGGCTGACGGTATATTGCACCTTAAAGATTTATCTTTTGTTCAAGGATTACTCCCTTACAGCTCTCTCACAGAATGATTGGAGAACCTGTGGTAGCTAGACGTTACTGATGCATATCTCTGTTTCAGATCCTTCATAAAACAGATAAACAAACGAAAAAAAAAAAACAAAATAGAGATGAGAGTTTCCTATAAAAAAACCACATAGGCTGAATCAGGGCTCTTAGTAATTTAAAATTTCTACCAGATTCTTATAAAAACAGGGGCCTTAAATACTTTCATATTTTTAAAAATATATCTTACAAAAACCTAGATATAAGAAATTATGATTAGTTTCTGAGTGTTGTGGACCTTTTTTGTTTTCAAGTTCTGTAGCTGAAGTGCAGGGGCTTCTAACAATAATGTGAAATGCGACAGGAATGGGATTTTGTTTTTCATAGTGGTGATAAAATTAAAGTTCTGTTAGTGTAGATATAAAGTGAACTCATTCTTTTGTGAGACAGCCTTAGAGTTTTAGAGGAGGGTTTATATTTTAGAGGAGAGTTTTAGGGGAGTCTAGTAAGGGATACTGAAATACTTGGAGGCTTTAATAAGGGAAGTCCATTTCATGTCATGCCAAGTGTCCTTGACATCACCTCATTGCTATAGGGCTGTACTCCATAACCCAGTTTTCAGTGGTAAGCACCATTACAATTGCACGCAAGGAGGTGAACTTTAAGAATGGGGACATGCTAAATATTCTGAAAGCTATCTTTGTCTGTTCAAATGTATATGAAGCTTGTACGTGTCTCTGTCTCCTGAAGGAGTGTGCTGAAGGTAGTGCAACTCGTATATTACGTACTGAGCTTGTGGGAGGAGAATGACTGGAAATTCATTCATATATTCAGAGGTTTTAGAACCAGGAAGGGCCTCAGTGTTCATCCAGCCCAGCCATACAGGTTGTAAAGTTTTCCCTGGAAGTGCAATAAGTGACCTCTTAAAAAGATTGAGTGGTGATGAGTACTTGACATGTTCAATAAGTTATCCGTACTAAAATTGTTTTTAATGCTAGGATTTACTTATTCAATCTTGATGTAACTTCAGCTTCCAGGCTGTTAGTTCTGTCGGTAAAAAGAAACCTCGGTGTTGTTCCATGTACCTGTGGAGTATGTTCATGTGTTATTGGGAATATTTTTCACTGATAACTGCTTAAGGCTTCTCAGCCTGCTTCCTGAGGAGCTGAAGAATACAGCAGTGCCTGCCAGTCACTGCTGACCCGCTGAGATCCACTGGCTTTGCAAGTCTCACGAGGACACCTAAAGCAATAAAAACTGAGCGGGAACTGGGATGTGAGGTTTGTCAGAGAAGAGTCAAAGTTATTCGGAAGAAGAGGGCAAACTCGGGGAACAGTTTCCTTCACTCTGGTGTATATGCTTTTGCAAAATGCTTTATGGTGTCCTCTTTCTATTGAACCGATGGTAGTCAGTGTGCGTCTATGACCAAAGGGTAGATTACAGTCATGGATGATAGGAAGCATTCCTACTAAACCTTTCTGTCAGAAAAAAATGAAAATGCTTTGCTTTCTGGTGGTTTTTTTTTTTTTTTTAAAGTTTGTTCTAAAGCATTATTTTGTTACTATTCCTCTGAGAAGAGGAAATTGATGCGTTCAATATCAGAATTGATGCATTGCCTACCTGTCCACTGGAATCTGAAAGTAAATGTTGCTGTGACACTTGGGTTGCACTATAGTTTAAGGATGCTTCTCATAAAGACTTAATCACAGTTCATAGCATAGGGCAAGGTTTGAACCACAAAAAGTTTGGGTAGCGATTATTGATAAGCTGCGGTGAAGTTGCATTTCTTGCTGTGGCTTTTTAAAAGTTCCTCAGTTGGACCTGGCAAACACAATCTGTTTTTCATCACGGCACGATGTTTGTACTAGGCATGTCATACCATTGTTGAAAGAACTTCATAGGAGTAGTCAAGTATGTGGGTTGTCTTCATGCCTTGAGTGTTAAGTTAAACCATACTGGGACCTGAGAATAGGTTTTGTACATACTTGAGGAATGAAAGTGGTTTAGGAACAAATGTTGGAGGATTATGTTGTGAATAGGGTGCACCCACATGTTTTGGCTTGGGTACCACAGTAGGTTATCAATTCTCATATTGTAAAACTGTATAGTGTAGTGTTTGAGGTACTTTTGAAGGGGTAATACTGTTTTGAGAACCAGTCCCTCTACTTACTGGCTGGAGTGACTTGTTTCATGTTCCTGTTAGGTTTTATTTAGTGGGTATATTTTTGTTGAATTGTTTGGGTAGGTGTGATAGAAACATTTGAAAAGATAATAAATAAATAAATTGTGACTACCCTTTTTAGGAAGCAAATGTCAAAACCTTGGCTACATTAGTCACCTTGAATCCATAAATGTTGATAAAACTGCAGTATTTTGCTATCAATCTGGTAGTTACTTTTACATGACCTACATAGACATGTCTGAATAATTTTAACTCTGCGACATTCGAATGTGCTTGTCTTTTTCTTTTTTTTTTTTTTTTTTTTCTTTTCCAAAAGCATCTTAGGCAACCACATTGGTGTGTGGAGGTCAAATCTTGGTTTTGTTACTAGGAAAAAGAGATAGTTGTATCTTTAAATCCCCCTTGAAGAAATTAATTACTACATATGATTTCATTTAGTTAGTGAAGTCTAATGCTTGCATCCAGGAATTGAAACATTACATTTGTTTGTGTTCTTGATGATACTGAGCTCTCCCAGGTGGAGAGTAGTGTCTGCCAATCTTTGTCCACGTCATCCTTTGCATTTATTGTACTGATGCAAATTAACTTTGCCAATAAATGGATTTGATAGTGCTTTTATGAAACGGGAAGGAGCTGAAACTGGCTCATTAACCTTTCTCTGTCTCCTCTTCAAGAAAACTGTGATGTCAGTCCTTTCTGGACACTTACTACACGTTTACTTTTTTTACCACATGGAAATTTCTGGTAATTTGGGTGTGAGGAGTAAAAGGTGGGTTGCTGTTGCTGGGGAAGTGTTGTATAGACACGTAACATTGGAGGACAGATGAGTTCATTACCAAAGAGGGTGCATTTAATAAAGCAGGTGTCTCTAAACTTTGGCTCTTGGGCATTTCTCCTCTTAATGCTGACCTCAACAGCAGTGGTGTTCGTTCTGAGTCTTTAGTTGCTGGTGTCTGTGGGAAATGTTACCTTCAGTTTGTACCCCGTGAGTTACAGATTGGGGACTGCTGTAATAAGCCTTGATGCTTCAGCTTCCTAAAATCTGTTTGACTTAGAAAGACATGATCAGGTTTTAGAGCAGCTCAGGTCTCTTGAGTGAATGTGTAATGGGCACTCTTTCAACTGGGTAATTAGGGGGAAATTGTGCAAGCTTTTTCCTCACATTAACTACATAATTAGGTCATGCTATCTGAGGGACAAGTCTGCTAAAGTATGTCACCAATCCCTCTGTATGCAATCAGCAGATGTTAAACTAGTTTTTAAGTATCAGGGAGTCAAGCTGATATTACAGTTAAAATTTTAAATTTGTGAAAATGTTGGCTGGTTGTGCAAAATGAGTATGCTTCTTGTTTGTTCTGCCAATGTTTTCTTTTTCTCTGTGAAAGAAAGCCTTTTCCCAGTTCAGTCCTGCTGTACCACAGAGATTGGCTAGAAAACCATTTGGGTTTTGAAATTGAATTGGTCTGAAGTGCTGATATCTGTGCTAAAAAGCAGGCGTTGGCACTGAGGCTTCTGTGCTGTGCATCAAGAGGAATTTTTGTTTGTTTGTATTTCTGTATAAGACAATAAACCTCACTTACCATTTGGTGCAGCTCCTGCCTGGATTTATTTTTGGACTGGGACCTAAGGGTGAAATGCCTTTCAGGTTTTATATTTGGTATGCAACTGTCTTATTTGCCAAGTTTTACTGATTTGCTTGGAATGGTGTAATTATTTTGTGGTTTTTTTAAACTGCTTTTTAATATGTACCTCAGCAGCTGCTCACTACCGTGTACATTGTTTTATGCAAAATGTGCATATTTGAAAATCTGTAAATGTTGCAAGGGAATGTTGGAATAGAATTAAAAACTCTTTTCCTATGATTTCTTTAGATCCAAAGGCAGAAACACGACTGTATATTATGGTGAATGACTTTGAATTTCATGTGTACAACCGTTCTGAGCTCTATGGACAACTTCAAGAACTATTTGGCTTGGATCCCACAATAATTCCAGCAAAGAAAGATGGGGAAAAAGCACAAGTAAACGGGCGGCAGAGAACACATACCAATCTTGAAAGGTAAATTATTATTCATTTTGCTATTTTGTTGATGCTTTGTTCTGCCAAGTGCTGAACTAATTGGGTAGTGTTTTGTTAACATATGCTCTGGAGGCCAAATGGTTGAAGCGGAGCTGAGAGAGAAATTGCACTGACAAGCCTGACAGACTAAATCTTTTTCCTTTCCTTGGACTTCCTACCATAATAATTAAAAAACACCACCAGACAAACTGAACACTCTTTGTTTAATGATCAGAGACAGGTTGAAAAATCTATTTGAAGTAGAATGTGGAAAGGGAATGTGTTGAAGAGGATTATGCTTGCAGAATAATAATGGTATTGCTCAGTAGAAGCAATGGCTGCTCAGGACATTGAATAGATGAAATGTGAGGGTCTATAGGATTTGGGGAGGACTTAATGGCTTTTTAGCTTTAAACTTGGGCTGGTTTCCCAAGCTGTCTTTTTAGGGGTGTGTGTTTGTATAGCTGCACAAACCTTCTTCTCTTAATTTATTCCTCTTTCTGGGGTACCCCAAAAAGCATGGTGTGTGTCTATGAGGAGGAGTTCTACATGGCTTATATTCAGTGATAACCCTCTCTTTGGATGGAATCACACCAGACTGATTTATTGTCAGGAGCAGAGAAGGTATTATGAGACTTGAGTCCCTCCACTGCTGCTGGCCAGGCCAGTAGGCGTTACTAAATTATGTAGTGGGTAGCTGCAGGATGCTGTGGCAGTCCTGAGTCTGGGTAAAGGATGTGCCTCCGAGCCAGTCTCTTTATGTTTTCATCTTACACCCTTATTGACAGGTGCAGCAGGTCCCTTACAGGAGATGCCCCTGTGGGAAGGAGTGTTCCCTGAGAGCTGTGCACTGAAGACCCCTAGAAGAAAATGTTCTTTAGTTCTTCTGCAGAAAAAATAAACTAATAAAACCCATTTTTTCTTGTAGTGTTAAAGTAAAAACAGAATCTCAAGACCCTTCTTCTTCATGGAGGTCGCTTATTCCAGTCATTAAAGTCAACGTGAGCACGGTAAGTGAAAACAACCTGATAATGAAAATATTTAGTGGTATATGCTTAAATGAATGGCAAGCCTGATTTTTTTCTTCTGCGTTCTTTTTGAGCTTTTGTTCTCCTTCGTGCTTTAAAAACGTTTTAAAATGACACCGCCAGCGCTCCCCTGACACAGTCACAAATCCTGATGGTGCTGATGGAAACATGGTCATGATAGCTGGTTTGGGAAGTCCTTGTGTCTTAGGCTTGTAATGATTTCAGGACTATCACCAAGTAATTATCTAGATAATGGGTGTTGTACAGTGTGTGGTGTGTTGGGTTCTTGGAAGGCGTTGGGATTTTTTTTTTTAATAAATTTTTCATTTTTCTTGTCTTCCCTGCATCTTTTAATAGGGATATTTGGATATGTTCCTTAAAAGTTGAGATTGCCTCCCCAGAAAAACAGGAAAACTGTTATTGAGGTGATAGGAGGTGGAGTATTAAGAGTTTAATGTACAAGGTAGTATTTTTAGATATGCACAGATTAAGGCCAGGATTTTTGTCAGCTGTCTTTATTTGCATAAGGCTGGTTAAACGGCGTTATTATGGGTAAATATCTACATGTGTATATATATATATGTAAAAGAGCAGTGTATAATGAATAATTGTGTTTTCTTTTTAATTTAGGGTCGCTTGGCATTTGGGAATCATTATCAACCACAAACACTTTGTATTAACTTTGATGATGCTTTTTTGACATATACCACAAAACCACCTTCAAGCCACCTTGATCAGTTTATGCACATAGTGAAAGGAAAATTGGAAAATGTTAGAGTCATGCTGGTTCCAAGTCCAAGATATGTCGGTCTTCAAAATGATGAGTAAGTTCAGGGGTTTTTTTGTTTGGTTGTTTTTTGTTCTGTTTCCGTATTATTTTATTCTTTATTTTAAGAAGATGAAGAAATTAATGTTGGTTGTGTTTCTGTGACTTTGTTTTTCTTAGTGTGATTAGAGAGTTGGTATTTTTGTCAGTCTGAGAGTTTTAAATGTTGGATCTTTGAAACTGTTTTATTTATGGAGAAAAGTACTGATTTTCTATCTCATTTAAGACTTTCGTTTTTGGTGTGTTCTGCTGTATGATTAATGTTCTGCATTCAACTTTTATGGCCCTTCACTGAGGTACTATAGCTGCGCACAGGCTTTGACAGCACTAAATTTCTAGGGTAAATGGCAAGGTTTAAGGTGTTGACTTCTGTAGAGCTGATTAGCGTATGGTTTGGAAACATATTTTCAAAATGGGCAAGAGCTGTGCAATACTTGTTGTAGGAGAAATCATGTTATCTTTTGAAGACAGATTGCTGACCCTTTTACCTGTGGGGTTATCCGTCTTTAACAAATTGAACAGTAGTAAGTCAAACAACAGAAAGGGTGCTTGCATGAAACGATTTGACACTAAGATTCTTGTTTTATTACACTTTACCCAGTAAGCATATTATGTGCTTACTATATTAACATTCTTGATTGATATGGTATGAACATCACAGACAGACTTTTCTGCATTATCTTATTTAATGCTTACAGTGTTATATATTCAACAGATAATTTGGACAAAACTGCTAAATTTTAAGGTCTTTCACAGACATTATTTGCTCAGCAAAAAAACAAATAATGTATCCTATCCTTGGACTACTGTGTGTATGAATTTATGTAAAATCATTATAACTATTTTATACCTCCTAAGTGACAATATCCAGAAAATGAGAAAACCTGTGTATGGTTTGACTGTTCCTTAATTGACTTTGTATCAGCCAAATACTGCCGTCTATAATATGGCTTTATGTGCTTTCAAATAAGATTCTGTGGATGTGTACAGTCTTACTCTGCCAACATGACGACAAAGGAAATTTCTCCAATTAATATTGAAAACAAATAAGATTAAAACAAAATAGGATTAAGATACTCAAACTATTAGCTTTTTCCTGCTTCCGCTAAGTATTTTCTTTTTATGCTGTTACTATCCCTACAGCCCCTGATGGCTGAAGGATGGTGTGTGTGCAGAAAACATATGCCCTAATTTACTGGGTAGATTCAACAAATGACCCAGTTCACTGGGAACTGGGAATGGCTGAATCTTTAGAGCCTGCCCTCTTACGCTTCTTTGGCTTAAAAACTAAGCTGAGTGTTTTAACATTCAGAACTTCCTGCAGGCAATTGCTCGTATAAAAAACAGCTAAGTGGCTTCATGAAATTTGTAACAGACTGACTAATCGATACAAACATCAAAAACCCACCTTGAAAACTGTCATATTATGTTACAAACACATACCTCAATGCCTCCATCGCTTTTTGCAAATAAATCCTCCAAAATCCAAAGTAAAAAAAAATAGTGCTAGGAAAAGCAGATCAGAGCAGAAGTTTGGAGAGCAGTGACTAAGTCAGCAGGCTCAGAGTGGAAGTTTGGGGTGGATATCAGGAAGTGCTTTTTAATTATGATCTCGTTATCCTCCACTGCCATCCTCTAGTTTGCTTTTGGAAATGACCGGTGGTGGGGTTTCTAGAGTTCCACCGCCTCCATCAGCTCAGTCTGACAAGGTGTAACTATTCCTGATGATGGTGGGTTAGGTGGCCTCATTAAGAACCTTCCTCTCCCATTTTCTGTGGAGGTAGTTTGATGTGCACTTTAAGCTGAGAATACAGATACAAGGAGCAGTACTATTTTCTTTTTTGTGTGGTTAAGCAGTGAGCACTGATCATGGAATTCATTGTCATTAAGAAAATATATGTTGGTCTGAAATCTAATACGGTTCTGCGCTTGGGTTCGCCACCTGTCCGTTTCCACTCAACCTCTGACCATCCTAGGACTGCTGTATGGAAAGATACTGCTTTTCTTGGCTGCTGTGTTGTGTTTGCTATGGCCTGTGATCCCTTGATAATGTAAAACTATAAGCTGCTTCAGTCATCTACAATGTATTTTCATATTCTTCTTAAAAAGGGAATCAAAAGAACTAGTGACGAGACATGAAGATATAGAAGAGAACTTTCCTCTTTGTGGACAAAAAACTGCACGGAACAGGCAAAAAGTTTTATACAAGTGTAGTGGGTTCAGAGAGATCAGAACAAGAGCTGGAAAGAGAAGGGTTTAATGGAGTATGCAGACATGATAAAGATGTACACTGAGAGAATTGGCGGAAAAGGAACAAGGAAGACATTTAGCTACCACGTGGAGTTTTGGTGTGTTTGTTCTTTTTTTCCCCTCCATAGAATCATAGAATGGTTAGGGTTGGAAGGAACCTTAAAGATCATCTAGTTCCAACCCCCCTGCCATGGGCAGAGACACCTTGCACTAGACCAGGTTGCTCAAAGCCACATACAACCTGGCCTTGAAGACATCCAGGGATGGGGCATCCACAACATCTCTGGGCAACCTGTTCCAGTGCCTCACCACCCTCTCTGTGAAGAATTTCTTCCTGATATCTAATCTAAACCTCCCTGATTTCAATTTATACCCATTACCCCCTGTCCACTTCCAATTAGTGTAAGATCTCATAGCTTTCCGTGAGAAAATAGAGTATGGCAAAGGTGATGAGGATGACATGGCAGTGAGTGAGTGACAGGAGGATTTGGCCAGTCTGTCAGCTCTTAAAGCTTTGCTATAGATATTTCTCTTTCCTACAGCTCAATGGCAGTTTCTGTTAGGCTGTGGTGCTAAGTCAAATTGTCTGTCTTGAAGAAGACTTAGCTCAAAAACTCTTTGTAATTCTATTTAAGATAGTGGTTTAGATTAAAATAAAATTATTAATTTTGGTATAAGTAAACACTATTAGGAAGGCAGAAGTAAACAATTGTTAAATCTGCCCTATTCATACTTTACAGGAGTTTTATTAAAACAGTAATGTAGCTTCTCCGGTGTATATCTACAGACTTAGCTAAATCTGTATCTAGTGTTTTGAGACCTGTGCACTCCGTGCTGGCAGAGAGGGGAATGCACTTCAGGTGGAAGGGATACAGTATTCTGTATTCCATGGAACAAAACGCGTACCAGATCGAGCAGCAGGGAGGAAGTAGAGTTTGCCATTACAGACAGGCTCCCTCGTGCTCCGGCTGGCTGACCTTCGCGGTGAAATCCTGAGCTGGTGGAGTGAGATGCAGCCTTTGCTTGATGATGCTGAGGGCACAGTCGGACACTGGCAGATGATGGTGTCGGCTGAAGGAAGTTACTGTCTGTCTCCAAAGTTTTGCAGCTGGTTATGTTGTGAGCTTCCCCTCTCTTGCATTACAAGACAGTGGGTCCTCGGTCGTGGTGTGCTCAGCTTGAGGGGCTCAAGTTGCTACCCCGAGCTGCTGGGCCATGGTGTGCTTTCAGTCTGGCTGATCCGTGTGGGCAGAAAGAACGAAGCTCTTCCCACCAACTACTGTGTATATATCTCTAAATGCTTTCCTTCCCACTCCTGTTCCTGAACCACTAAACAGTTTCTTTCACATCTTGCTCTATTTGCATCTCGCTGGGGAGGCCAGTTTGATTTGGGACAGCAAAAAGAAATACTTGGAAAATTGGAAGGGAATAGGAAGTATTTCATCTTTCACTGGTATCGTTATTCTCAAACTAAAATTAATTTTAAGTTGCTTTTGAAGAACTTCTGCTGTCCATGGGATCTGCATCTGCTGCTGTCTTCTGTGTTTTCCAAGCTTTCCTGTGTTTGAGCAGTGGTAAAATGGGCAGCGAGCTTCTAGCAGGTCACATGTGTAGACCCTGTATTTTTGTCATTGGAATTTTCTTCTTTTTTTTTTTTTTTAAAGTGACTATAAAAGTGTCTGAAAAGTGGCAAAAACTTTTTTTTTTGCAACAAAAGAAGATTTTTCACATTATAATGTTATTACTACTGTAAAATATAATATGATGTAAATTAACATGTGGTAACACTGTAAGAAAGGGATTGTAATATACCAGTATATTAGTATGAGGAGAAGCGTTTCATGTATTAGTTTTATCACTTAGAACCTTTTATATCGAGGGAAATGTTACTGAGGAAGAAGAGTGAGTGGTTTTTTTTTTTTAAGTAATGGTCTAATTACTGACGATGTCTTGTCCCTGTGGTTCAGTGCTATTTTAGTAAGAAAACAATTAGCAGGTGAAACGATATAGGACAAGGAGAAAGAAACTCTTGCTAAAAAGAAGTATTGAAAGTAAAACTTTGGTAGTTGGTTGTGGTTTATAATAGCTGAGATGTGTCTTTGTGGAAAGGAACCTGGTATTTTCATGCTTGAGTTAACAGGTGTTTAGGTTACTTTAAGTAGTAGTAATACTAATAATGACAATGTAACGATCAAGAATTTTTTGCAAATCAGGGTAGACACAGCCTAGCAGTATGACAGCTGCCTTTTTGATAGGAGACTTGAGACCACAGAGACTTGAAGATTTGCAGTGTTTGTTTTGATAAGTTCGTGTAGAATGAGACAGCAGACAGACCAGGAATCACTGCTGAATAGGGTGGGAAAGAGAGGAGCTGAAGTTATAACCTACACTTCAAGTTTAACTTCCAAACAGCCACATTTGGACAGACTGTGGTGGGACGTGGGCACTTCTGTCTGTTCTGCCCACCTTTCTGGTACTGGTGCAAGCTGGATGCCTGCTAGATAAGGCAGCCTGTGGCTCTGGCAGGCAGCCTGCAGGCAACACAGTATAGATGCATGGAGCTGGTGTCTTGGGATTGCAATGAACTAGAGTCTTGCCCACAAAATCTTCCTGGTCAGCTACCACATACACTGTATCCACCCTGGGCTTCCTTGATATAGAAATAGCAGTTTTATTGATGATTCCATGGTTAAATATGTACTGCTTACAAGCTACAAGCGAGCCTGGCCTAGGTAATCTCTTCCATTATGTTTAATAGGTTGTATTTAAGATTACTTGAATTCATAAAGATGAAGCTCAGTGCCTTGCTTTCTAATCTTTCTCTCTCCACCCTTCCATTACAGACCACCGAGGCTGATGGGTGAAGGTTTTGTTGTAATGCAGTCCAATGATGTTGATATCTATTACTATATGGATGAACCAGGTACCTTCTGTTAAATACAAAGATAAAATTTTAAGGGATTTGAAGGCTCTCTGTTTATTTAATTGTCTGAACTTGCTAGACTTTTTTAATGCTAGGAAATCTGTATGCTGAAAGTGTTAGTGTAGTATTCTGGAGGCAATAAAAATGTTCATGTGCTTATGAACACTTAGAAGTTCGTAAATTATTTTTTCTGCAAATGAAGAGAACTTCAGTTTTCATTCAAAAACTTCACTGATACAAATGGGAGAGAGTTCACTTGTTTCGTATTTGGAAGGGAGTGAAATTGTGAGCTGCGTTCTTTTTGCTGCTTGTTGTCAACTTCTAGACTCTTTCAAGTAAGAGGCTTGGGAATTCCATAGGTGAAGTAACTGTACATGTAGAACCAAAGTTTTTATCAGCAAGTAGTTCTATACAGACATAGATACTCTGTCAGCAGTGCCTTCCACAGGTCTATATACAACATAGAAGCAATTAATCCTGATATTCCTGAAACAACTTGTGTTTTAAGCTGTAAACTTAAATTACGTTAAGTTTCCAAAAGTACTTCAGGAGTGGGGACACTTTATAGTCAGTACCTGCTGGGGTTTTTGGGAAGTTTATTTGATGCATCAATTTTGGAATAGTGCAATGTCTAAATCCAGTGCACTATATTACTGCTTGATTTTGCTGGAGTTTTTTGGCTTGAAAAAAGTTTTTGCTCTGACTCCACTTAAAGTATTGCCTGAATCTTGAACAAAGGTAACATTCAATAATTATGTATATTGGTGTAAGATAGGTGGCTGCTGAAAGCTTGAATTTTTGCTAGTAACTGGGCTTACCTTAGTAAGTTTTTGTAATTCTCTTGCCCTGTCTGTAGAAATGACTTTTAAGTTAATCTCGTTTCAAAAGATTGTAAGTTGGTTTTGGAACTGATTGTGGAACATATGAAAACCTGTGTTGGTAAAAAGCATATTTAAGAGAGAAAACTGCTGTGTATATCAGCGTTTCACTGACATCAGTGAGCAGTGCTTCAAAAAATCCTGAGGATTTTTGGTCATATTCTTGCCCTTCACCTGGGAATCTGCATCTGCTTGATATTCATGTGCTGTAGTGTCTCAAATAAAACTGACATCAGGGCACTGTAATTCTCATGTGCTTAGAAAACATTTTTCATGCTAATTGGAAGCAGCTTCCTTTAGTAATCTGTTTATTATATTATGTACTATAGGTCTTGTACCAGAGGAGATGGAGGAAAGTAATGATGGAGAGGCAAACAACGAAGACGACAAATTACAGGATCTGCCACCATGTTGGGGTTTGGATATTGTTTGTGGAAAAGGAACAGACTTCAACTATGGACCTTGGGCTGATAGGCAGAGGTATTATTATGATTTACATCTTCAGCTTTAATATCTTTCAAGAAAACATTCTAAGTTTTTTGCTCAGACTTCTAATTTGTATGGAGTAGGCCAGGCAGTCTTAAAAAGCATCATAGGATTATGGAATGGTTTGGGTTGGAAGCTATCTTAAAGATCATCTAGTTTCAATCCCCCTACCATGGGCAGGGACACCTTCCACTAGACCAGGTTGCTCAAAGCCTCATCCAGCCTGGCCTTGAACACTTCCAGGGATGGGGCATCCACAGCATCTCTGGGCAACCTGTTCCAGTGCCTCACCACCCTCTCCAGGAAGAACTTCTTCCTGATATCTAATCTAAACCTCCCCACTTTCAATTTAAACCTGTTACCCCTTGTCCTGTTCCTACAGGACCTTGTGAAAAGTCCCCCC